ATATAATATTCTGGAAATGTTGATTCCTTCAAAAAATCACCATTTAGTTCACCTTTACATTAACTTAGGAAGTAGTTCTCAAGCAATACAGGCCCAATAATGTTTCTACTTATTGTTTTAACCTTATAATCGGCGGTTAGAGATAGATAGATAGTATGTTTTCTTATATACCAAACAAAGAAAGTCATTTTAATTTTTTTTGTTACCTTATTTCATCGCATTACCCTATGTATTAAAAAAAAATATGTAAAATTATGTAAACTACTAGGTAATGATTTTAATACTGTTATCGATAAGTCATTTAGTATGCATATATATTGCGTTACTTAAAAATATTAATTACTATTTAATCGATTTTAAACTTATCACCGGAAACGCAAAGAGATTAAAATAAATCAATAAGATTTTTGTAACTATTGATAACGATTGCAATAGTTGACGTTATAGGGAAAAACGTGTTGGAAGGAATTGCGTTCCGATAATAGTAGAAGGATCGGGAATATTATCAGTCTCACAAAAATAAGCCTGTTTATGCTAAACTTTTTAAACCTAACACAAGTCAGGAAAAGATTCAGAAAGGCGTTCGAAAATCGATTCGCCCGTTCTAGCCTCTAAAGTTCCCTCGAATATTGAGATCTAGACATTTCATAATAATAATAAAGCCTTTTTATTTCCATATACTTACATTTCAAATGTTCTAATTAATGTTGTAAGCATTTACTAACTTATTGCTACTTCACTTATCCTTGTTGACATGAATCCGACTTGCAGTGGCGTAGCTAGGTGACCAAGGGCCCTGGGGCAAATTAAAAAATGGGGCCCCACTGCTATGTAAACTGATCAAAATATGAAATTTACAAATACTTTAAAAATGCTAAGAGTTAAATGCTGCAGGGCAGGTAAAAAAAATATTAAACAGTAACAACATAAATTACAACTTGGTGTAGGTTTGGCGAATAAAACGAAATAGAAAAGATTCAAGGGTTTATTATATAAAGGTCGGGCCTACCAACTGACTAAATAACAAAATTATATTTACAATTTTTTCCTAGCTTTAGTTTTCGCAAATAGCTTCGGAAATCTTTAGATTTGACACGATTTATGGACTTTAACGGATATCAATATGAGTGGTAAAATCAAATAATATTGACCAGTACAAAAAAACTTATTGACCTTATCTTACTTACTCCTCATACAGCATTAATTTTTTAACCGTTCTCAAAAAAATCTTAACTCGAATTCACGATAAAACGCACCGATGTACGTGTTTATTCATCGATATGAATAAAACGCACATATCATATCCGTCAAATTGACAACACTGCCAATCTACAGAAAAAATTTAGGGGAATTCCCTAGGCATAACTTTTAAATTTCTCTCAACTGAGTTGTCATGATTAAAGTGGGGTTGCAATCTGTCATATTTATTTTGAAAATAGGAGAAATTTGCCCCTATGTAGCTACGCCACTGCCGACTTGGGTGAAGGCCTCTTCCAACCTTTTGCAGATGTTAGAGACATCTTTACCAAAAGTCTGTCAGTCTTTTCCTACTATATCAATTAAGTTACTAAGACCGTCTTTTTGGACTGCCCACTTTCCAGGCATATATAACAATGAAATATCACACAATTACCAATTATTTCGCCGCCATGCACCTTTGACCTAGTAGTATAATATCACAGTACCTTCCTAAATAAAGATTTCAATTACAATTAGAATTCGAATCGAATTCGAAGCATTTGATTACAATACCAAAACAAGTAATGAAATCAGACTTGAATCAGTCAGAAATAATGTATTTACTTTCTAGGTATATTCAAGAATGTGTTATTGTCTGAAAACAGCAATAAAATCACTTACTCCCAAGATTATATACCAAAAGAACTATGCAACTCTACTACGAAATAATGACAGATTGTAATAATGATTTAGGGCCAGGGTTTTAGCTTCCAATCTAACAATAAATAATAATCCAGTGGCGCTACAACCCTGTATGGGTCTTAGACTCAGATTGCATCCGTTTCTTCAATATTGTTTTATAGACTAGTAGGTGATCGCTCTGTGCATAGATTTGGGTTTAAGCGTTGCTGGTTGGAGGCAAACGTGGGCTAAGTTTACCTTCACCGTAGGAGCAAAGGTAATTTGCGACAACACGAAGAAAATTCCATTGACGGCCGTGATTCGATAACACGACCTCTTAAAAGTGGCTTACCATAGGACAGCCTTGCGATTCTGTAACTCACTTTTCGAACTCACACAGCAGCATAAAATGACTGCTTCACGACTGATTTGAGCGCGACCACCGCTGCGAAAACCGCTGTGAGAGTTCGAAAAGTGAGTTACAGAATCGTGAGGCTGTAGTCTGTAGTCTACAGTAGTAGTCCTACTTGAACTACAGTCCTTTTTGATCTATGGTTATCTAGGTGTTGAACGATTCGGAGTACTGTTTAGGTTTCGTTAATGTTGTACGAGCATTTCGAATGAGATGCTGATAAGAATAAGGCTTATCTTGTAATTAATTAAAATCAGTATTAATACAGAGATTAAATCAAATGAAGTCTTTATAAGTAACAACAAAGGCATAACATATGCAGTTACCACCCGGAGACCGGGAAAAGCATACAGAAAAACAATTTATTCTGGAGTTGTAGTGGCATCGGTAAGATTTGCATTTTCTTATTTATAGTGACTCCCGGTCTGAAAATGAGATGATGGATTTGTGATTTTATGATAGAATTTTTATGCATTCTTTTATTATTTTGTAAATTTTACGTTGTAATGAGTGAATGTGTGTTCGGTGAGTTAACCATTCAATCAAATTCTTATTATTCTCCCATTTTCCATAACTAATATAAATTTATTTAAAAAATGTGACGTTTCAATGTAGCTGTTAAGCGTTTTAGTTTTTTATATTTAATCATTATATATACATTCGATAAATAAAGTTAGATTTGTAACCAGCCAACTACAAAGTGAAAAAACGACCATTACCTTATTATTAACAATAACATTAGTGTTATATTGTGCATGTCCAGAAATAGCTCAAAAATTACTAAATTTGGTAAAAATTTAAGTGTTGAAATATATATCTTGATTGGTTCGCCTTGATGTAATAATTGGCGGTTCACGTAAACAAATCAACCACTTTTTGTCAATTACATTATTTATAATTGAATTTAGGTCACAGCCTCAGAAATTAAAGATTTTAAAAGCATCCTAATTTAATCTTAAAATGTGCTACCGCCCTTTGCTCGCTTCAATCAGTCGTAAATATGGTATAAAATTTCGACATGGTTCTCTTCATATTGCATAATACATTAAATGCACTATAAAAAATAAAACAGGTTACACCGAAGCTAATATAGCTGCAGTAGTAAGAGAGTTAAACAAAACTTCTTAAATATTATACATCATCTAAGTATCGCTATATCGTTTACAGTGTTAAAGATGACGAAGCATTTATTTTGGTGTCACTAGAAAAATGCAAAATCTGACGCAAGATAATTGAATACAACAAATAAAATTTAAACATATTTTTAAGTTTTAAGATATTTATCGATCGATTCTAGTAAACTTAGGCTATGCGCCACTAAGACTCGAATTGACATTATATTATGAGAATCTCCTTATGTTTTTATACGAAATCGATTTTACATTTAAATGTACAAATTATTTAAAATATATACTGTGAAGATAAAAGATTACCGACAAACAATGGAAAATTGTATTCCCGTGTTTAATAAATTCAAATGCAAAAGACAATTTTAAGTTTAAAAAAGGTTATATCGATGTACGATATCGATTTTATCACATTTAACAAAGCTCTCTTATAAAAAATAAGTTATTAGTTTAGGAAATAAAATGTATATAAACCAAAGTATAATTATACTAATTCTATAATTGTAAGTTAATTCATAATTAATTAAAGATTACTGTACGATAGTCGTAGATTAAAGCTTATATGAGCAAAGAAATATAGAAATGTACAAAGTCCAATATTGCCTCATTCATAATTAGATAATGCGTAACCTAGAGACGTTGGCCCATTATCAATATCAAATCCCATATCTTAATTCTAGTTTGTCAAAATAAAAATAAAATTAATCGATCATACATTGCCTAATAACTGATCATGCTTAGAATGCGTGTTTCATTCAGTATTATTATCTATTAGATAAATATAATTAAAAATTAATCAGGTAATTAATTGAACCAAACGCTGTGTGCCGATTTTTTATTATCGTTTTTGGTATATCGATTCGCTGCTCCGTCTAGTCATGCATTTTCACAGGTCGTGATAATCACGGTCACAATTACGTGATCAAATCCCGGTCTCATACAAAAAACGCTATTGAGAATAATTTGAAATTATTTTAAAAGAAGTATTTACTAAGATTCATAATAACTAAAGCAATCTAACTTTCGTTTCTTTTCATAACAGCGAAAACATATTCATAAAAAGTGACGAACGAGCCAATTAGTAAAACAGTGCCATCATAGTGATATAAATCTTTTTTATATTATAAATGATTATCGTATTTCCATTTAAGCCTTAGAGCTTGTACAAGTGCATCTCATACTGCTAGAGCGCGGAATAAGAGATGGACACTAGAAATAACCTAGACAAAACCTAGGACCCGCTGGAAAGAGATGTATAGGACGACAAGAAAAGATGGACAGATGACATTATAAAACTAGCGGGGAAAAACTGGATGAATGTTGCTCAAGACAAAGAGAAATTGAAAATATTGAGCAGGCTTTTACCCTAACAAAAACAAAACCACTAAAAAATAAAAAATAAATCTAACTTACATTTTTAAACTTATACTAACACAACTAATACTAACATTAAGGAATGTAAACTAACCAATTGTTGTATGGATTAATAAAGCTTTAATAATAATAATAATCGATTACGTAAACTGCCTCAATAAATAAAGAGCCATAGCTGAAGCGTGAAGAATATTGTTTTTATATTTAAATTTGTTCTAGGTTTAAAAATGGTAGAACAGAATATGAAATCGAAGGACGTATCTTCAGTGTCCGAGTACTATGCCGGAAAAAATGTTTTCATTACGGGTGGGACTGGCTTTCTTGGCAAGGTACTAGATTACTTATCTAAAATTATTTTAGGAAATATAATAGATGAACAAATCAAATTACATGCTAATTGATATTATCAACTTTATATAAAATTTTTAAAGCGAACTTAATCAGACAGCAATACTTTTTGAACTTTGATTCTAATAAACTTTTCTAAACGCATAGTTTTTAATGGAAAGTTAACAAAACTAAGACAATTTGACCCCTGCTTTTACATTCTTAATATAAACAATGTTCAATGTTTTAGGCCCTTATAGAGAAACTTCTATACAGTTGCAATGATATTGGCAAAGTGTTCATGCTGATACGAGAGAAGAAAGGAGTTTCTGCTCAAGACAGAATGAAAATCATGCTTGAAACTGAGGTGAGCTTATAAAAATATCTCTTGTCAACGATTGATGTAATTTCATACAGAACAGCAAATCATGCTTGTAAACATAATCTTATCCTATCCTGATCAATCGTGACTTGTGTAATTCTGGTGTTTTCTTTTCTTTTGTATTGCATCGCTATTCGCTGTTCATGAATCTGTACGACTAGCCTTTTAGTTTTTTATTTAAAAAAATGTATTACTTTAGATTAAGGTTTTATATATTTTTCTTTTTTTCTATAACATTCGGTTCTGCACTTCTTGCACTCATGATTTTTCTTTTTTAAGTTTTCTCTTACTAGGGTTGCCTGGAAGAGATCGTTTATTAGTTGCATCCCTTGTAATTTGTATGTAACACAATTATTTGTGTTCCTTTTATTGCAACTAAGTGTAAATAAATAAATAAATAATTGTCTGACAAAAAATTCTAATATCAGTAATTTAATTCTACCTACTGGTACAAGGTATTAAAAGACACATTGGATTCGTATCTCTATTGTGTTATTCCTCCCATTAATTTTAAAGTAAAAAGTTAAACTGAGCTACTTTTTAAGTGTATTTAAGTAATATTCAATAAAATAAAAAAGCATCTCAAATCAGTATTATCTCAAAATAGTGTATGAGTCGTACAAGCATTGTTATTAACATACCAATGACTTTTCAGCCATTTGGACGACTTAGAAACGAGAGGCCCCAAGACTTCAAAAAGATTGTTCCTGTATATGGTGATCTTGTAGCTGATTCGCTGGGAATCAGCGCGGAGGATCAAGAAATTCTTTTTGAAGAGGTACTGATACAATTAATAAGAACGAAAGGGTGCCATGTTATTTGGTTTCCTAAAATTTTGTGTAAATTGTTACTATTTAGTCATTATTTTAAGCTAAAATAAAAGTCAAAATTTTGTATCATACAAATATTTGAGCTTCTTGAGAATGAGAAAACCAAACATATTTTATTAGTCAATACTGTTCAGTGGCCTTAGACCGATTGAATTATCACAATTTTGTCGTATTTTAAATTGAAAAAGAGATCGACAGTTTTTATTAAGAAATATATATTAGGTATTTTATTACAGAATAATATAAATATTATTTTGTATCTTTCAGGTGTCCGTTGTCTTCCACTTAGCAGCAACAATTAAATTTAACGAACCGTTATCCGTAGCTATGAAAGTTAACGTGGAAGGCACGCAGGAAGTTCTGAAACTGGCGCAAAAAATGAAGCAATTGGAAGTAAGTTTTGTTATCACGTACATTAAGTTATCACGTTTAAACTGTTGAACACATTTTATTATATTTATGAAATTAACAAAATCCTAGTCATATTACAAGATAGAATATTTATGACTTTTTGTTTAAGAACTACACCAAACACATTTGGAACATCTGTTCCACAAAACGTACAAATACAGCTTTGAATTATATTATTAAATAGTATAAATAATTAATAAATTTCAGTCCTTCGTATACATGTCAACGGCTTTTTCAAACACATCCCTGCAGAGATACCACGTGGAAGAGAAAATGTACCCTCCACCTAAGCCTATGGAGGAAGTGTACGACCTGATTAAAAACAACGACCCCAATGAACGTTTTAATTCCGATATTCTAGGTAGGTAACCAAACCATTTTTATAAATTTTCTAATGTTTAAAATGTTGCATGAATTGTTTTTACACATAGTTTGGACTAAGAAAATTGCGAAAAACAGCGTCAAAACTGCTCAAAGCTAAATCCCAACTTAAATGTTTTTGTTAGGCGCGATCGCAATATTGCGACATCAAGTACGAGATCTACATCGAAATTGCAATATAACAACGTTGAATCGCGCTAATAGAGAAGTAGTATACCAACGCACTCGTTTAATAAATTAAGAAATGATTGATGTATGAAGGAGCAACTATTGTGACAGATGGCATAATATGTATATTTATTATATATAATTTAATGGTTGTTTCAGATGGTCGCCCAAACACATACACATTCACAAAGGCACTTGCCGAAAACTTTGTTGTTGATAACCACGGCGACTTACCATGCGTAATCGTTCGACCGTCAGTAGGTAAGTTATGTACGAAAACATAAACTTTAAATTTAAATTCAGTTGAACTAGTCACTGTATCTTGTCATTGTAATGTAATAAATAACGACCTTTAAAAGTCTATTATGTAGAACATTTTCATTTATGCAAATTAGTTGTTTTTATTGCCTAATGCTAAATGCTTAATTTATGCATATTTATAATTTGATGCTTTGCATACAAAGCCCCAAATTTATTCTTTGCCAAATTATCTTACAAATTTGATATACTCGTATGACAAGTACATCAGAAGTCTATGTCAAAGGTTGTTTAAATGAGGTCGTATACTTGAAGAGTGGGGATTACATTTCGAAATATAATTTTGTATGTGATAACTTTTTTTAGTAACTGCCGCCTTAAAAGAACCCGTCGAAGGCTGGATTGACAATTGGCAAGGCGCGACCCCAGTCCTCTCCCTCATAGCTAAAGGCTGGGTGCGCTGCCTCTACGGTGAAAAAATGACCAACTTTGAAATTATTCCCATAGACTACGTTGTGAACCTCACCATCATCAGTGGGGCAAATTGCAAGAAGTAAGTTTTTCAGAAACTATTAAACATATTATATAAATAATTAAATTAGACGAAGATAATTGGGGTCAATTTGTATGTCAATTATTTTTATATTTGGATATATAATCTGTGCCTTTTTATACTTGTAATTTATGTAATCAAAATATAATAAATACTATTTAAAAATAATAGTAAATAAAATAATAATACATTCTGAATTCACAATTACTACCAATACTCAAGTCAAGTGAGGTGAACGGACGAGAAAATCTGGCTAAAAAACTCTTCTTATGCGACGCATTATTAAAAATATCGTATAAAATATGTCTAAAACTATCTACTTCAAATCCTTTATACATCCCCATTTTCCCTATTTAAAATACTTGTTATCTTTTAGATCAAAGAATGTTCCCATCTACCATTGCTGCAGCAGTGGAAGTAACCCAATCACACTAAAGGAAACATCTATTTTATACACGGCGGAAAGCGTGAAGCATGGATATAGTAAGTTGTTGTAATTTACTTAAAAATAGCGATTGTATTTGCAATCATCAATATTGTATTGTCTTTTATTGGCATAACCTTTACACATTTAAAGAAAACAATTTTTTACCGGATTGAAGTTATGTAAAAATTTACAATTATTTTACAAATTTAAAATTATGTTATGCTATTTTTGTATGTTTACAATATTAACTCGAAATTACTGGAGGCATACTAAACTTTCAGCAATCATTAGAATGCTATACTATCTCTTAGTAACTATAGGCTATATTTATCTCCAAAGTGAGTCAAAATTAATCCCAAGCCACAGTGTAAATGTAATTTCTTCACAAATAACTACAAAATGAAATAAAAACATTTTTTTTAAATATCATTTGTAGTACCTACATTCTAATTATTAATTACAAGAACGTATAATTATGCCTTTGTGCTACAATGTAACTATATAACTATCAAGGAAGCCCATTTATGTAACGAGCGTGAGACACGTACAACTTATAACACTCGAAATAACCAGTATAATAAATATTTTTAATATAGAATTCTTAAACAAACTCCTATAGCGTATTATATTAATAAAATGACGATTATTCGAAAACGTTTTCATGCCTATAGTAGATCTATAAAGATTTATAAATTATTTGTTTTATGCAGATGAACTGCCACTACCGGGAATGATATTTTCAAAATCATCATGGATTCTATTCCTCATGACGCTCATTTTTCAAGTAATTCCATCATATTTGGCTGACTTATTCCTTTACCTCATTGGAAAACCAACTAGGTAAGGCATCCTTTGGAACAAAAAGCATAGTATATGTTATTTTTTTAGATTTAGCTGTATAATTAGTACTGTTCTTGACCCAGTAAATCATTTAAATTGCAGAATGCTTAGTAGAAATAAATAAGTGTGTAGACGACACTCATAAAATATTAAATTGATCACTGGAATTCACACTCGTTTGTGGATCAACTGAACCTAATTAAGTCGAGGACTGGATTAAAGATAAAATATTATACTGACTTAAATAATAATAAAATAAATAATAATTTTAATTTCTATATACTTTTTATCCTTCTAATATGATAGTCAATTAGTCTGTGCTGTAAATTATGTACTATGTACAAATCAAATCAAAATTATATAAATAGTATATAAAACATATACAGGCAAATATCCATATCTTAATACGTTTTCTTGTCTTTAGATACGTCAAAATCCAAACCAAACTAGCATCATATCTGGATACCATTCGTTTCTTCAGCTCACAGTCATGGAATATCACTAACGACAAGACGAGGGGACTCTACTCTAGTCTCAATTCTGCTGATAAAGACCTCTATCCCTGTGATGCGAATCTTATTAACTGGAAACAATACATTCCTATCTACTTTAGAGGCGTCAAACAATTCTTGGTAGATCCAACAGAGAAGAAAAGACAGTGAATTAGACATTAATTTGTGATAGGAAAATCTGCTTGATAATTTTAAGTTTGTACAATATAGATTAATTTAATATAATGTAATCTTGACCTTATATATGTAAGATATTTTTTAAATAATGGAAAGCAGTTAATGTTAGTAAATATTTCCAGGTTTCATAATTAACTGTCTAAGGCTGAAGTTTATACAAAGAACATACTAATCAAAATAGCGCTAAGTATTACTCCTGTATGTCAAATTAAATTCAGATTTAAACTTAGCGCTAGCAACATTACCTTGAGACTTTACTTAGGCTTTGTTTGTATAATTCTCTGAGCTGACCATTATCTGAGTGCGCGCTAAGTAATTGCTCTTGCACATCTTATTTTTTTTTTTGTATTTATTCGCTCCAATAAGATTTAATTCAGCCGATGTAAATAATATATTTATTATATATATCGGCCGAATATTTATATCCAATTATATATAAATAATATATGTATATATAATTATATCCAATTATATATAAATAATATATGTATATATAATTGGATAT